AGGAAGTTGGGGAATAATAAAAATATAGGCAGACTAAAATGTTGATAATAAATCGGCTTTAATTTAAAAAGTCGGAAGGAAAAAATCGGTAAAAAATACAAAACGCTAAAAAGAAAAGGTCAGTTATAGAAATGTAAACATTTCGGATTTGGATTATGAATTGCCTTAGTGCATAGTTATATTAAAACCAATAAACAATAATTTTATAGACTTCACTAGTGCGATTAGAGTAAACCTTCAATAATTTTTTGTTGAAACTTGCAATAAATCCAACAACAATGCCGACTTTGTTGTCACTAAGGCCGCCAACAGGCCAGCCCGAAAGTTTTTTGAAATTTTCTTAGTAAAGCACGGCCCGAGCCCAGCCCAAATCTACATTTGGGCTGGTAGAGAGAGAGATACAGGTGAAAAGTTAAATTGTTTCTCTCTCCTAGACAATTTGATAAATTTCTCCGTTCTGTTTTCTAAAATTTTAAGCAACGCTAGTCACGGAATACTTAAGCAAGACATTTGACCCCATTTGTCAAAAAAATGCAATAAAATAAATGTGTTTTGACTTTAACTCCTGATTTAAAATGTTGGTCCATTCAAACGTGCCCTTTAAATTTTATCTTGAAATGGTACTTCAAAATATAAAGAGCCACACACCATGACCACTGACTTTTTAGACCCCTAAACAAGAGACATCATGTGTATGGTAATAGTACATCGCCCAAAAAACGTCCCGTCACCGGCCACCGCCTATGCAACGGTTGAGATCAGTCACTGTTTGTGTGATCGGGAATCGAGTTTGAAAGCGCTCAATCTCCACCATCCATTATCAAGAACGGATTGTGGATGACTATAGTCTGTATTATACACAACATACATGTTTGTCTGCTCTCAATTGGAGGGACAGTGGAGATTGGAAGGATACAGAAATGAATGTCTATAAAGGGCAATCTCAACCAATGATCCTTCACAATGGCATGAAAAGATTGATCACTACCATCCACCACCCCATAACACAAAAACGACTCAGCTACCTTCTCTTCGCTCCTCCAGGCCTTGGGCACAACCAGAGAACTAAACCAAGCAGATTATGCGTCAACGTTGTCCTAATGACATCTCTCATGGATACGTACTCAAAATGCGGTCTCCTTTCAAATTCCATACAAGTGTTCGAGGAAATGCCTGATAAAGATCCAACATTGACGAGTGCGATGCTATCTTGCTATTTTAGGCACAAGATGGCCTCTGAAGCATGCCTATTGTTCAAGCAAATCACAAATAGAGACACTGATTCATGGATTGCTGTGATAAGTGGGCCCAGAGTGACATGGCCTTATTAGCATTCAAGCACATGAAGCTCGAAGGTGTGAACCCAGATTTCATCACAGTATGGTCAGTGCGATCTCGGCATGTATCTATCTATAAATCACATTGCAAGGAAAATGCGTGCATAGCCATGTGATAAAGCAAGGATTTGAACCTTACCTACCTGTTGGGAACTGTCTCATGGATATGTATGCAAAGTGTGGAGGGTCAATGGAAGATGCCCGTCAATGCTTTGACAACTTGCCCTGCAAAAACATCATCTCTTGGACAACTCTAATAACTGGCTATGGAAAACATGGTCTCGGAATTGAAGCATTGAAGGTTTTTGAGTGTATAGTATCCAGAGGCATCACCCCAAATACCATAACTTTTGTGGGAATCCTTTCTGCTTGTAGCCACTCAGGTCTGGTGAGAGAAGGGTGGAGAATGTTCAATTCTATGATTTACAAGTAGAAAGTAACACCCAGTATTGAGCACTACACATGCATGGTTGATCTTCTTGATCGCGGCTCTTGAAAGAAGCATATGAGTTTGTAGAGAGCATGCCAGTTGAGCCGGATGCGGAACTTTGGGCATCATTGCTCAGTGCTTGTTGGTTTTCATAAAGATGTGAAGATGACAATGGCTGTTGGTGAGAAGCTTCTTCGGCTGGAGCCACATGATGGAGGAATATACGTTTTGGTATCGAACAGTTATGCTTCTATTGGGAACTGGTCAGGTGTGTTGAAGGTAAGAAGAATGATGTTAGAGAGAGGGGTAAGGAAAGAGAGGGCGCAGTTGGATTGACATCAATGGAATGGTTCATACTTTTAAAGCTGGGGATCAATCGCACCCGTGTTATGGAGAGATCTGCCAGTTGATTGATCACCTATTTCTAGGAGGTAACAGAAAATGAAAACTTGGACCGTGCGAACAAGATGAGATTAGCTGGGCAGAGAGGCTCTCTTTTGTACGGGAATAATCTTCCAATCCTTCGATTCATCGATTTTGTATATGAATCTTTTTATTGTATTTCTGGTGCAGTGATTTATACCTTCGACCTTTTCTAGAAGTTCATTAAAAGATAAACTGGTTGTTCACGCTGCCATTGGGGAAGGAGAGAGAGAGAGGGAGAGAGATTGTCAACCAGTCGAACTCTTTTATGTTTAGGAAGAGTCAACATGCAGATGGCCTAAAGACTCAAGAAAAAGATATAAAGATGTGTTGTTGTAGCTGAGATTCATCGCACCACTCTAACAAATGGTTCCATGACCATTTTCATCACTCCAAGGAAAGCACAGAGCAACACAAAACTATGAGAATTGGAGAGAAGCTGAGATCAACAAAGAAATGAGTTCCTAAAATGTACAGCAACAGACCAGAAACAATGTATTCCATTCACAATCAACTTGATCAGACACCAAGCACATGTTACAAATCACCAGAGTAAAAAGCACAGGTTACAAACCACCAGAGTAAATGGTTCAGACCTGTCAAGCTCCAAGAGACTCGGAATACAAATTGGTATCCGAACCACCCATTGTAAAATAAATTCTATGTTATAAATGGAAGATGGTTTTTCTATACCAGAATACCCGCAACTCTACAAGGATTACCAGTTAGGACAATCTTTTAGCC